TAAAACATGACAAACTTATCAAAATAAAGAGAAGAAATGAAAATAGCAAAGCTAAGCAGAAAAGTGTCTGAGAAAAAAGTTAATTTCTTAATACTACTACAGTATCACTTACATTTTGTTCTCTTTGTCTTTCATCAAGCAACATTTCAGAAGCATTTACTGGTTCAAAAACGTGCTGGAATTGGCGCAACAACGGATACAGAATCCCAAGAGCTTTTAAAAAAGCGTTTCAATCAAGCAGAAAATTATTTAGCTGATTGCAACATTCCAGACAAATATCAGGGTGACTTCAAGCTTAGACCTAGCTAAGCTATGTCAGTGTAGAATTTTTGGAGAGCTTCAAAAAATTAATGTCATTAGAAAGAAGAAGCAGTAGCACAACGGACAAAAAAAAAATCTTGATAAGTGAAATTAATTTAAATGTCTAAACATCTAATATGTCTAATGATGAGATAGCTGTAGAAATATTATAAGATTTTTATAAACTCATTTTTAGATTTTTTGTGTTTTAAGTAATGTTATCTGGTGAATGTCTTACTTTACTGGAAATGTACTTTACTGGATAAAACAAATTTGTCTTTTGGAGGAATAATTTGCTGTCAGAAGTAACATATCAGATAACAATAGTCATAAAATATCAAGAAACAATAATTTGCATGTAAAATATCTTTAAGAGTCACAGTAGAATCATTTCATGGCCGAAGTATCATGATAATTTCAACTCCCACGCCTTGTCTGTTGATCTGATATTAAATTCAGTCTATTATTACAATACATTTAAAGAAACAATAAATGCTGTTTATGTACAAGAAAAGGAAAGGATGCGTATAAATGTGATTTGACTTTCATTTTCTTTCTTAGCACAGATTCAGCTATTTAGTTTTCTATAGCTAAGGAACTGTGATTGCTGATTATTGACTGGAAAACATGTTCATAGAGGATGATCACTACTCTTTACAAGCAGAAAAACGAAAGCAACAAGTAATGCAAAGCCATGTAAAAAAATCTTTAAAAAAAAAGGAAGGAAGAATGGTAAGAGACCAGGGTCAGCAAAGAAGTAGAAATGTCACATGTTCAGCTGGAAAGCCCTTATGAACGACAGGGGACTTCAGGGTGACACTGAGGCTTCTTCTTTTCTGCTGGAAACATAATTTAACCAAGTGAATATTTTTAACTTCTCTATATGCTTTCAGTGGTTAGGCAATAAAAAGGGCAAGAACAGTTTATTCTTGCATACATAGGCACTTCTGAGATGTTTCCTCACATGTGCAGAGCCTTCCTCATTCTGTCTTTGAGGCTCTCTTCTGCTGACAGACTTAGATAAAAACCCAGACATATTTAAATCAAATGTCAGACAGTGAAGCACAATAAAACTAATATTAGGCATAGATTTGCATTTTTCCAACATGGCTAAAACATTTTGCTGTTTAATTTACATGCTAATAGTATGCCCACTACATATCATGCAAACACTTTTGAGTCTAAAAACAGATGTGGTCCATACGGCTCTAGTACTGATGTCACAGTGCTCAGTCCTGTTCAGGAAGAATAAATAACTAAGTGACGTTGCTGTCAGTCTGACACTTTCACAGTAATGTCAGCTTCAACTGTAAATGATCACAGAGACAGAGAATGATTTACATTTGAAGGCTGATCTCAAACAGACTTTATGTAAAGCTGATATGTGTTTGGTAGCAGTTATGTGTTGGTTGGACAGATAATGGTTAAAAAAACCATTGAGAACAGCCATATCAGTTGCTGACTGCACAGAATCCAAAAAACAAACTTTTCTACTAGTTACCAGTAACTGACCTATAACTGACCTCCGACTCCCACATATTATGCGCTACAATGATAACACAGCTGTGAATTGTCGTTACACTATTGTCTGAACTTAATTTTTGTGTTGTTGAAGCCTCAGACAAGAAACTACTGAATTCATGCAACTTCTAAACACATCTGATTTTACTCAGCACATAAATAGTCCGACACATGGTCACACTTTAGATTTAGTCATGTCACCAGGATTATTTATTAACATAAATGAAATCCTCAATATTGCCATCTCAGATCACTACTGTGTGGTTTGTACTATGTTTGCCTTTGTTGAGATGAAAGACTTACAGCAACATTAACAGCAGCTACTTTTAGTGACGCTCTATGTTACAAACCTTCTCTACGTATTAATCCCCTAAAATCTCAGGCTTATTACATGCTAAGGCTTATTATTTAGTAACTACAAGGACTTCAATGCAAATGGGTTCAACTTAGGTTATAGAAGTGTGTAATAAAATTTTTAATGGGTTAACTCAACAGTACATGATATGGTCAGCAATTTTAATTGTAAGCTACGATCTATTTTAGACAGTGTCGCACCAGAAAAACTAAAGAGAAGTCCTTGACCAGAAAAACTACCTTGGAAAAATAAACTGAGAAGGACAGAATTTCCAGAACGGAAATGGAGAAAAGCTAACCATTCACTGTCTTCTCAGAGCTTAACAATTTGAACACAATATTCATGAAAAATTCCAGTTTGGCTTCAGAGTAAATCACAGCACTGAAACAGCTTTAGTAACGGTAGTAAATGATCTGAGAATAAATCCTGACACGGGTCAAGTTTCTGTACTTATGCTTCTGGATTTAACTACTGCATTTGATACTATAGTCCACAGAATACTTCTAAATCAGCTTGAGAATGTGGTTGATCTTTCTGGAACTGTGTTAAACTGGTTCTCTACATATTTAACTGGAAGACAGTAACTTGTAAGCATATGTAAACATATCTCAGACAAGCACAATATTCTCTGTGGTGTACCACAAGGCTCCGCACTAGGTCCACTTCTGTTTTCTTTGTATCCGCTGCCACTGGGTCAGATTATTAAAAAGCATGCCATCAATTTTCATAGTTATGCAGATGACACACAACTGTATATATCTGTGGCTCTAGATGATGTCACGACAGTAGACAAGCTCACATTATGTCTGCCTGCCATTGTCAGCTGAATAAATAACAATTTTCTAAAACTTGATGAAGAAAATACAGAAACAGTTATAATCAGTAGTGAAGCAAAGAGAAAAAAAAATATTAAAGACTTCTGGCTCTGGAAATCTGACTCTACGAGTAAAAACAGAAGTCAGGAATCTTGGTGTAACTCTAGACTCGTTTAACTTTTAAAGCACATATTAATAATATTACTGAAACTGCTTTTTATCATTTAAGGAAAATAACATGAGTTCGACCTTATCTCTGCCTGCAACATGCTCAGAAATTGATCCATGCTTTTGTGTTTTCTTATCTTCACTACTGTAATTCTTTGTTCATAAGATGTCCTATAATAATCAAACTACTATTGTTTTTTTTTTAAATCTCTTGCTTTAACATCTTCATATATTTTTGAGGTTTAAGATCATCTAGTGCTGCTTCTCCATATTCAATGTAGAAACTTAATATAGTTTTTATGCACCAAAGATCAGGAACACATCACCAATAAACACCCTTTAGGCTCCTTCTGTCAATGTTTTAAAAAAAACAGATTAAAAATCATTTCTTTACTTTAGGAGTGAACAAGTTTTTTTATTATTTCCTTTGTTTTTACTGAAATATTACTATTTCTTTCTTATTAGTTGTATTTTGTATTGTATTTTTATTTTCTAATTTTATCTTATGCTTTATAGTTTTGATTTTTATTAATATATCCCATTTTCTCTTATTGCTTTTATTTGTTGCATATTTATTGTTTATTTATTTTTTGTTTATTTAATTTAATGTATTTTTTTTCCTTTTTTCATCTGTTGTTTTTACTTTGTATTGTGAAGCACTTTGAGCTGCATTTTAATGTATGAAAGGTGCAATATAAATCAACATTATTATTATTATTATTATTATTATTATTAAGAAGTGAGGCTTAGGGTGACTACCAGGAGCAGTATGGATAATATGGGCAGACTCTGTATACTTCCTGCATGAGAATCTCATGAAGTGTGATTTGATTTTCATCAGATCGTATGTCAGTTCATATATCATAAAATAAATGAGAACTATTTTATTTAATAATGCACAGAACATTTTGCAATGCAGGATCTTATTGAAGAAAGGCTTTGAACCATTAGATTCATTAATATTCAGCTCTTTAATGTTATGTTGCAAATTCTTGTTTAGTCATTCAGTCAGTAGCTCTGCTCAATATATGTTCAGAGAAAAAGTAAAAGGTTAGTTGTGTCTATGTTGTAGTCTGAAGTCTTGAGTTCTAGAAATAACGTTTCCTGATTAAAGTAAAGCCAGATGAGAATTTAGATGGAGATTTAGATGCAGGTTAAAGTAAATCACAGAATGACTGATTAATCAGTTTTGAGTAAAGACAATTAATCCAGAAACGCCTGTAAATAAGGGTTGAATTAGTGCAGAAATGAAGTCATAGCACAGTCAGCAATGCCTTTACCAGATTTATTCAAAGAATTCATCAGACAAAAACAAGTTTTATGATGCTTGAAGAAAATTATGATCATATAGAAAAATCACTGATTGGTTAAAACATAAAAAGAACAATAAAAATTTAAGAATAAATGAATTTAATAAGTCAAACGACCAGAGCAGCATTGCTCCAACACTTAGCCCTCTCTTTTTCTCTCGCTCTCTCTCACTCACTCTTCCTCTCTCTTCCCCCCTCTCTCTCTCATTCTTTTTCTTTCTCTCTCTCTCTCTCTCTCCCCCTCTCCGTTCTCAAAACACAGCTGCCTGCTACTGTTGACCTCCAGAATGTCCAGCTGCCCTCACTGATTTTTTTAAGCTCTCGAACATCATCTGTGAGCCTCTGTCCAATCACCTTGAACTATTTTTTATGCCTTCTAAGTGCACAAACCATATGCATTAGAAAGATGTCAAACATGACGCATGCTATTCTTTTTGAACAGTTAATTACTTTTTGGGCACAGAGAAAGAGAGAGAGCCCCTGATCCTTAAACACATGCAATTCTCCAACAATTAACCTCTCAGTATAGGATAATCTTAGCAAATCAACAGATATGAGTATACAGTATACACTAATCACAGCAAATCAACAGACATGAGTATACAGTATACACTAATCATAGCAAATCAACAGATATGAGTATACAGTATACACTAATCACAGCAAATCAACAGATATGAGTATACAGTATACACTAATCATAGCAAATCAACAGACATGAGTATACAGTATACACTAATCATAGCAAATCAACAGATACATAGAGAACCATGAAGAACAGATGGATAACAGAATGAATCTTATAAAGGTAGACAGGATTCAGTTCTCCTTCATGTTGCAATGTCTGCTGCTTCATCTTCAGCTTTAGATTGTGAAAAACACAGAGAGAGAAGATGAAGTCAGAAGGAAACTGGTGCCTATAAAACATCAGACAGACCTCTAGTGCTGTACTAATGTGAGCTGTATTTAAAGTGGACACTGTGGGTCAAAATTTTTAATGTGGAGTTCTACTTCCAGAGGTGCAGCAGAGATTCATTTTGCTAATACCTGAGTCTCACTCTGCTGTGGCTCCCAGTATAATCCTGGCCAGAAGTTCAGCTGCTTGGCTGAGAGCTGTTCCACAGCTACTGAAGCCATGTGCAGCAGTTACAGCATTACTATCTACACTAGGTCTTCACAGATTTTCACAAATGAAACCATACATTTTAGCTCTCGCCAAGAGTATGTTATTAATGGGGGAGATTTTCTGGAAAACTCATTTTGAAATATACATCAGAAACGGCCAATGTGTCTTTTCCTTGACTACCATTTCTCAACACCTAGGTTGAGAAATGTTTTTATCTCTACTGAAGTTACGTTAATTGTTATTTCAATCTATAACAGTGATATGTTTAATATTAGAAAATATTTGAATATTTAACAAAAAAAAGACGGGAACACTGAGGGAACCGAAATGCCTTTACTTCATTTTAGCATGACTGATCCTGCTATAGACACATCCTACATTCATCAAAACATGAACACCTTTCAAACCGGCCACATTTTTATTATTTAACAGTACACAGGATCACCAGCTAACTGTTCACAGGATCAGCTACTAATTATACACAGGATCATCGACTAACTGTACACAGAACTTCTGACTAACTGTACACAGGAAGAACTAATAACTACACAGGATCATGTAATAACTTTACAGGTCTACTAGTCATCTACTAATTGTACAAAGGATCATCTGCTAACAGTAAACAGAATCTCCTACTAACTGTACACAGGATCATCTACTAACTGTACACGGGATCATCTATTAACCTTATCGGCCCTAATGACGGATTTTGCGTCATAAATCACACCTTGTCTTCTCAGCTTTATAACTCAGGACTGCTTTACCGCAGCAGTTCACTACGCACATCCTCAGAAACTGCGGAGTCTCCCGCTTCTAACAACAGCGGCCCCATCGCGGTCCGACGAAGCGTCTGTGAGTAATCCACTGTGGAAAAACAGTCAAATAGACGCTCCTTCACAGTTTCTGTTTTATTCTTCTAGTAAATCTCAGTTTCTGTGCTGATAAACTCTGCGTTTCGCTTTATTTACACTACTATTGTTTATTATAGGGCTTCTGAAATGTTTACACGGTGTTTCAAATCTAATATCTGATTAGTTGAGTCAGTATTATCGACCGAAAACGCCTCTCAGCGCCTCCGCCGATTAGCCGCTCTGCAGCTCCAGTCGCGTCTTTCACTGCCCTCCGCTAAAAAACCGCTCTTTCGCTCCGCTCCTCGCGCTCTGATCACCGCGTGCGCGCGCATCTCGCTTTATTTCCACTACTATTGTTTATTATAGGGCTTCTGAAATGTTTACACGGTGTTTCAGATCTAATATCTGATTAGATGAGTCAGTATCATCGACCGAAAACGCCTCTCAGCGCCTCCGCCGATTAGCCGTTCTGACGCTGCGCGCGGCTCGGCAGTGTTCCTGCTGTGTTTGTGCGCGTGTTTCCTAGCAACGGCGCGTTGGTCACGTGACGCGCATCTAGACCTGAAAAGCTGCGCGCGCACCTTCCGAGTCTTCTGGCGTCCGTCCAACCCCGCTGGACTGATCCAGATTTCAGGTTTATATTATGGTACAGACTCTTTATTGTGTGTTTTCTAGATAAACTAGTGTTTATCTGATAATTTCTGGAAGGATTCTTTATTATAGGAGTGATTGTTATTATAAGCAGCTGATAATAAACACCCAGTGTACTAAAACAGTGTTGTATTAGCTGGAATATTAGCCATATTGGCCCTGAACAAAAAACCCAAAGGCTTGACCTGCTGTGTCAGTCTGTCACATGCAGTTTTAGCAATCTGCATGTCTCCTTTAGGTGAGAATATCAAGAAAAATAAGTCCGCCTGATGCTAATCACACACTATTTCACAGTAATAAGCCATATATTGAACAATCATCAAAATTCTTATATTTTCAGCTCATAGACACTTTATCCTAAAACTTTCTCATTGACATCTAAGAGGTGCAGTGATGTTTTGAATAGATACAGTCAAAAATAAGTACAGACGCTTGGTAAATTTTTGATCAAAACATGTGCAGTTTCATAAAAATATCAAACTTCTGAGGGCATTTACAACTCAGGTGATTACATATTTGAGAAGCCACATGTCTTCTGAAAATAAAACAACATATAACATGTGGCTGTCTCATATAATTACTAGAGTTACAACAACTGGAAGAGGAACTGACAAAAACTGGGGGGAAAAAACACCTAATAGTGCTAGGGCTCTAAGGGCTAACTGTACACAGGACCATCTACTAACTGTACACAGGACCATCTACTAACTGTGCACAGGACCATCTACTAACTGTACACAGGACCATCTACTAACTGTGCACAGGACCATCTACTAACTGTACACAGGACCTCCTATTCTCAGTGAAACTTATTAATACTGGTGTGTCTGATGCCGAAAAATGTTCATGTTAAGGTTGATTGGCAAAATGATTGTGAAATAAATACAATAATTAATTCATGTTGGTTTAAGAGAACTGAGATTAACACAACCTCCTACTAACTGTACACAGAACCTCCTACTAACTGTACACAGGAACATCTACTAACTGTATAAAGGACCATCTACTAACGGTACACAGGACCTCCTACTAACTGTACACAGGACCATCTACTAACTGCACAGAAGATCATCTACTAACAGTACACAGGATCATCTACTAACTGTACACAGGACCTGCTACTAACGGTACACAGGACCATCTACTAACTGTACACAGGATCATCTACTAACTGTACACAGGATCATCTACTAACTGTACACAGGACCATCTACTAACTGTACACAAGACCATCTACTAACTGTACACAGGACCATCTACTAACTGTATACAGGATCATCTACTAACTGTACACTGGACCTCCTACTAACGGTACACAGGATCATCTACTAACTGTACACAGGATCATCTACTAACTGTACACTGGACCTCCTACTAACGGTACACAGGATCATCTACTAACTGCACACAGGATCATCTACTAACTGCACACAGCATCATCTACTAACTGCACACAGAATCCCTCATAATTGTACAACTTGTGTAAAAGAAAATTTCAGGTTAAAATCACCCAGCATGTGTTCTGTCGAGTGTGTGCCCAGTGCTGGATTGCCAAATAACACAGGTTAGGTGGTTTTTAGCACAGCATTTCAACAGTGTACAAGACATACTTTCAATGTGTCAACAGTTCATAATGCAGAACCAAACATGATTGTAATGTCTATTGTGTTTTTAGAAACATTTTTTAATGTGTCATACCTTCATGAATGTGTTCATAGTTTCTTACAGACATGGTATTTATAGAAAGTCTTATGACGGTGCTTTTTATAATTACATACCGATTTGAACATATTTGAGGAGAACGTCTCGATGAATGTGAATGTGTGTTATCTGGTCAAGCTCCTTCATGCGATGTGCGTAATTCAGCAAGTTATTGTTGTCAACTTTCACTCTATATCCAGAGGATGTGCACAAAATCTTGATCTGAAAAACAGAAGATCCAGCTTATTACTCTGTCTACAGATTTAACACATTGGTTTCACTGAAGAATTAAAATTAGAATCTGCTGCGATTATAGTAGATACTCAATATATTATTGTAGATATCTGATAATTCATAATAATTACAAAATAATTTGTAAGAATTACTAAATAAATTATAAGAAGTACTGAATAATTCATAGTAAATACTGAATAATTCATAGTAAATACTGAATAATTCATAGCTATTACAAAATAACAAGACTGCAGTTTAAGGTGTTAATCTCAGTTCTCTTAACCCAACATTAATTAATTAATGTATTTATTTCACAATCATTTTGCCAATCAACCTTAACATGAACATTTTTCGGCATCAGACACACCAGTATTAGTAACTGTCACTGAGACTGAAGCTGAGACAGAAATATAATAAAAAACACTTCCACTAGTGAACATGATCCCTCAGTGAACAGACTCACTTAATATGCAGTGAAAGTGTTTCAATGAGCAGAGCAGGACTGTCTGTTCACAACACTCACCTCAAAAGGTTTTCCAGGTGTGAAAGGGAAGGAAAGAAGTTCTTTTTCCTCAGGACCCCAAACATCATTAATCAGACTGTTTCTCACGATCACCTGCTTCCCATCCTCATTGAAGCGAGGGTTGAAATGGAAGGCTATATCAGTGCCATTACAAATGTTAATGTCGAATCTAATGGAAGAAAAAGAAAATCACTTTTTTCACCATTTTATTTTTAGATTTGTCATTCTATTTTTATTATCCTTTATATTCTTACTTTTCAGCACTTTCTTTGGGCTCTCCGTAGATTTTGATGAGTGTTTTGTCTTTGAGGCCCTCAGGTAGAATCTGCACATATGGAACTTTTAGGAAGAAGCCATCTAAAAGGAAAGCAGGAGAGAATTAAGTGATGAAAATGAAAGGATCAGTTTTGCTCTTCCTGCTCTGTGAGCTGCATACATCACTCTTACCAAAGCTGGATAGATAATGACATTTATTTATTTACTGTTGCTTAGTACAGTCCATTTGACACCCCATCAATAGTTACTCAGTGTAAACTTTACTTTTCATGTTTGAGGTTTTATTCAAAAAAGTAAAATTGTTGGAGTTCTGAGTTCTGAGCTTTCAGTTACTAAAGTATCAAAATATGGCAGGTTACGTCGTGGAGTTCCATTTAAGAAAAAATAAGCAACCTATTTTTAACGTAACCATGCAAAAGGTCAAAAGTGTGTTAAAATATTTTTTTTAGATAGATAGATAGATAGATAGATAGATAGATAGATAGAGATAGATAGATAGATAGATAGATAGATAGACAGATAGATAGATAGATAGATAGAGACACATAGATAGATAGATAGATAGATAGACAGATATACAGATAGATAGATAGATAGACAGATATACAGATAGATAGATAGATAGATAGATAGAGATAGACAGATAGATAGATAGATAGATAGATAGATAGATAGATACAGATATAGACAGATAGATAGATAGATACAGATGGCAGCTTTGACAGAGCAACAGAGAGCACGTCACTGCGAGCGACAGAGAGCAGCACACCTTAGAACTTCAGATCGAGCAGCGTCCAAACTTTACTTGAAAATTAGTTGAAAATTCTGCAGTTAGCAGGCCACTAACCCCCTCACACCTCTCCTTCTTATTTTTGTCTCCTCCCTCTCTCTTTTTCTATCTCTCTCACAGTTATTCCCTCAGCCCATCCACCATGGCGTCCTCCCAGGAACGCGCCCTCCAGACCCTGAGCGCAGAGTTGGCCCGGCTGGATCGGCAGATCACCGCCCTGCTGAAGAAGCAGGACGAGCTCCTTCGGCAGAAGTCGATGCTCGAAGCCGCCCGGGAAGTTTCCCCCTCGGTGGTGGCGCCAGCGTCGTCTTTCCGCGCGCCGGGAGACGCCGTTCTCACGCCAGCCCTGCAGACCCTCACCGCTGCCCCAGCCGATCTTCGCCTCCGGAAACCGTTTCGCCGCCCTCAGTACACCGCATACGCCCTCACCTACGTCCCGGGCCTCCTCGCCGCCGCCCGCCCCAGCGCCCCGGACCTTGTCACCCGCCCCAGCGCCCCGGGCCTCGCCGCCCGCCCCAGCGCAGGACTCCGTTTATGTTATTGGTAGTTCTATTGTCCGCCACGTTCAAGTAAAGGTTAGAAACACCCATGCCACTGTTTTCTGTTTTCCAGGTGCTCGTGTCTTAGACATAGCCAAGCGCCTCCCCTCGGATCTCAGACGAAACGCCTTCGGGACCGTGGTGATCCATGTCGGGACCAACGATATCCTCGACCGTCGTAGCGAGGTCCTGAAGGAGCACTACCAGACGCTGCTGGACACCGCCAGGAAGAAGACGGACGCCAGGATCGTCATCTCCGGACCGCTACCCACCTACAGGAGGGGATCCGAGCGGTTCAGCAGCCTCTTCGCGCTGCAGTCCTGGCTCCGCGGATGGTGTGCCCTCAACGGCTTGGGCTACGTGGACAACTGGGCTTTGTTTTGGGAACAGCCGGCGCTCTTCCGGAGGGACGGCCTCCACCCTAGTCAGGTAGGATCTGTTGTTCTCTCATGGAACATCGAGAGGGCCATCCGCTGACTACACAGCGAAGGCCACGTAAGTAGCGGCAAAGATAGAAACGCTACAGCTCATAATGCTAGTGTTAGCACTGAGAATAAGACGATTATTAGCACCAGCTGCGTCAGACCAATTGCGTCACCTAGGTTCCACTGTATTGGGACTGTGTCTCTGCCCCGAATTAAATCTAAATCTAAACGCAGAATAACTCAATCAGCCCGTTTCGACAACCTGATCAATATTAAATCATATTCAGATGATAGCAGCAACACCTCAACTCTAAAATTTGGGTTACTCAATATAAGATCACTAAACTCAAAAGCAGTAATCATAAATGAATTTATAAGTGATCATAAATTTGACGTTTTCTGTCTCACTGAAACATGGGTTAGACAGGATGATTATTCAGCACTAAATGAGGCCACCCCTATAGGCTATAATTATGTACACAGCCCAAGATTATCAGGCAAAGGAGGTGGATTATGTGTAATCTACCAGAATACCCTAGATATCGGTCAGAAACAATGTGACATCTTCACTTCTTTTGAGGTTCTCTCCATCAACGTTACTAATCCGGCCACAAAAAAGAAGGCATTTTCATTATTTAACATTTATAGACCACCAGGACCCTACTCAGAATTTCTAAAAGAATTTAGTGATTTCGCTGCAAACCTAGCTGTGTGCAATGATAAAGTAATGATTGTAGGAGATTTTAACGTCCATTTTGAGAAGGCAGATGACCCACTAAAAAAGGCGTTTACTTCAATCCTAGACTCTGTTGGTATCACCCAAAATGTAACAGGGCCTACACACTACTGTAGTCACACTTTAGATCTAGTTCTGACACTCGGACTTAACATAGACAGGCTTAATATCTTACCCCAAACCTCAGTAATCTCTGACCATTACCTAATCTCTTATGAGCTACGTCTTAGCCATAATACATGTACGTCCCCTCGCTATTCTGCAAAGCGCGCAATAAAACCATTTACCGCCCTACAATTCATAGAAAACCTCCCAGTACTAACAACCCTAGTCTCCACTCCATCAGACTCAATGGAGCTAGATGTATTAACCGACTATTTAGAAAATACCTTCCGATCTACTTTAGAAAATGTGGCGCCACTAAAAATTAAAAGGATAAGACAGAAAAAGCTCGCCCCCTGGTACGATGATAAAACCCGTACCTTAAAACAAACAGTACGGAAACTAGAGCGGAAATGGCGATCAACCAAGCTGGAAGTGTTCCACTTGGCCTGGAAGGACAGCCTTATAGAGTATAGAAATGCTCTCACTAAAGCTCGCTCAGCATATCTGGCCTCGCTGATCGAGAACAATAAAAATAATCCTAGAGTACTGTTTAGTGTGATCTCTAGAATTACAAAAAATCAGGCAGGTACTGAACCACAAATTCCGGCGACTCTCACCAGTGAAGTTTTTATGGACTTTTTTAATAATAAAATCGAAAATATTAGACAACAAATTCAACCCACAGTATTAAATCCAACTTGGCTGTCATCTGATGTGGCTGATATAAAACATAACGTAGTTGCAGAAGAAAGGCTGGAAACTTTCTACCCACTCCCACAGCCAGAATTAGAGAAGATTATCTCCTCTGCAAATTGTACAACCTGCACACTTGATGCAATCCCCTCAAAATTACTCAAAGAAGTACTACCAGTTATCATTAATCCTCTTTTAACTATAGTAAACTCGTCCCTTAGCCTGGGCCATGTACCCATGGTATCACTAGGACAGCTTTTGTACATCTTCGCAATATCGCCAGAATAAGAAATGCCTTATCGCTGCACGATGCAGAAACATTAGTACATGCCTTTATTACCTCAAGGCTAGATTACTGTAACGCACTACTGTCAGGATGCACCAGCAGGAATTTAAGTAAACTTCAACTAGTTCAAAATGCTGCAGCCAGGGTTCTCACTAAAACTAGAACATCTGATCATATCAGTCCAGTTCTATCATCACTCCATTGGCTGCCTGTTAAATTCCGTATAGATTACAAAATTCTTTTATTGACGTATAAAGCCCTACATGGGCTCCTGAGTACCTGCACGACCTAATTTCCCATTACGAGCCACCACGATTACTCAGATCACAGAGTGCTGGCTTTTTAATAGTTCCCAGAATTCAGAAGGTTTCATCTGGGGGAAGAGCCTTTTCTTATAAAGCCCCCAAACTCTGGAATGATCTTCCAGAAAATGTTCGGGACTCAGACTCAGTCGCAATCTTCAAATCTAGGCTGAAAACTCACTTGTTTAGTTTAGCTTTTGGTAGCTAATGTTTCCCCTTGGATAAAGGCAGCAGATCCAGGGGTCCATGGACGCAGGGAATTATGGTAAACTGAGACGCTGGTGCTGTCGCCCCGCCGCTCACACTCGATCACTCAGGTTTGTGGACGGTGGAGCGGAGGGATGCCAGATTGTCTCAGGGTGCTCCCGTGTCTGTGTGCCCTTTTGGTTCTCTCCTTTTAGTTAAGCTGTTATAGTCAGATCTGCCGGAGTCGTTAGCCACACTCTGGAAATGATTTACATACTACTATACATACACCCATACAGAAATAAACTAACTCCATTTCCCTACCTTTCTTCCGAGAAAACGACTGCCCACCTGTCCGGCCGGACACTGCTGGATGATTGTTTGTAGAGCTCTCCGGCTACCCGCTTCAGACCAGTTACCCACAACCCAGTCACCGCCACCTGCCTTGGACTGGCTGCCCACTCTACACTGAAGTCTCCTAACTATTACTACCTCCTAACTATTACTACCTCCTAACTATTACTACTACTACTATTAATATTAGTAGAATAATAATTTTGTACGTAGTTTGACCAGAGGAGGATGGGTCCCCCCATGTGAGCCTTGGTTCCTCCCAAGGTTTCTTCCTCAGCTCTGAGGGAGTTTTTCCTGGCTTGCTCACCTGGAGGATTTACATTTCATGTTGAAACTTTGTTCTAAACGGATTTCTGTGAAGCTGCTTTGTGACAACATCAGTTGTAAAAAGCGCTATACAAATAAATTTGATTTGATTTGATTTAGATAGATAGATAGATAGATAGATAGATAGAGAGATACATAGATAGATAGATAGATAGATAGACAGATAGATAAATAGCTAGATAGATAGATAGATAGATAGATAGAGAGATAGACAGATATACAGATAGATAGATAGATAGATAGATAGATAGATAAATAGATAGATTATTACTTTATTAGTCCTAGAGGGAATGTCTTCTAATGCAGCAGTACAAGAGCAAAGTATTTTATTGCAGTATTTAGAGATGCATACATAAAAATAATATAATAAAATGAAATAAAAATATCCTAAAAACACGAAAAATAATGTGTAGTACAAAAATAAGAATTAAATTGCATAAATACTATGCAGTTGAAAATGCAATGGTGCCCGTCCCCTCCAGTGAATGAACAAGCGATTTTGTACTGTAAACAGTAAACTGTGTTAACAGTTGTGCCATGTGACATTTATAGATGCATAAACAAAGTAACAGTGCAATGTGCAATATTTGTGGACAAATAAACAAAGTGGCAGTGCAATATGGAATATGTATAAATGTATAATCAAAGTGGTGGTGAACAGTAACATGAGTGGACAGATATACTGTCTAGCTGGTGCCCAGTGAGCTTGTCCTGTCAGTGGTACACAGGACCATCTACTTACTGTACACAGGACCATCTACTAACTGTACACAGGACCATCTAGTAACTGTACACAGGACCATCTACTAACTGTACACAGAATCATCTACTAACTGTACAGAAGATCATCTACTAACTGTACACAGGACCATCTATTAACTGTACACATGACCATCTAATAACTGTACACATGATCATCTACTAACTGTACACAGGATCTCCTACTAACTGTACACAGCATCATCTACTAACTGCACACAGGACCTCCTACTAACTGTACACATGATCATCTACTAACTGTACACAGGATCTCCTACTAACTGTACACAGCATCATCTACTAACTGTACACAGGATCTCCTACTAACTGTACACAGCATCATCTACTAACTGCACACAGGACCTCCTACTAACTGTACACAGAACCATCTACTAACTGCACACAGGACCTCCTACTAACTGTACACAGCATCATCTACTAACTGTACACAGCATCATCTACTAACTGCACACAGGACCTCCTACTAACTGTACACAGGACCTCCTACTAACTGTACACAGCATCATCTACTAAGTGTACACAGTATTTATCTAGCACTGGGTTGCCAAGTAATGCAGCATAGTAATTTATAGAGTGTAAAACAACTACTTACAATGTTTTAACAATTAATAATGCATAACAAAACATGATTATAAAATGCAATGTGTTTTTTATAAATATTTATTAATGCATTATACCTTCATGAATGTGTTCATAGTTTCTTATAGACATGATATTCATTAGAAGGGTGGACTCAAGTCATGTGACTTGGACTCAATTCCGTCTCGAGTCTTGAATTTGATGACTTTAGAATCAACTCGAGAAAATCGAGAAAGACTTGGGACTCGACTTTGACTTCAACACCAGTGACTTGGACTCTGACTCGGACTTGAACATCTTGACTTGGAAAGACTCGAGACTCAAAGTGGAAGGAACGTGGAGAAAGTCTGACTGCATTTGGGACTTAACACAATCGATTATTTTTTAATGTGAATGGATTCGTTTCCTGCTGTAAACTGAATAAACATCACTGTTGTCAGATGTCTCTTTCTGTGTTTATGCTCAGTTTATTTTATTTCAGAAGTGTTAGAGCTCAAGCTCGCCTCTATTAAGCTGGAAACACACAAAGCATCAACAGCATCAATGCAGCCTCGCTCAGCACCGATTTTAACAGCTTCTGCAGGTAAAATATGTGCAACGTTCACCACAATGCTGAAGTTGACTGTATTTACCAGCTTTGTACTGGAATTTACCGTTCCACCTTAAATAGCGCAGCAGTTAGGTGCTGGAATGTAACTGCTGCACCATTTAAGATGGAACAGAAAATTAAAATAAGAAGCTGCTGGCAAAAATGGTCAGCTTTGTGCATTCATCATCATTTTACTGTAAACTCTGTTCAGCTCTGTCATTTTGGTTTCTGTTGTATAAATTCAATTCAAACTAGCACTTGTTTTTAGTTGGCTGAGCTAGTTTTAGTGCTGAGCTAGTTTTTATTTTATTCCTGTGTGCCCAATCAAAAATAACCTTCAAATCTAAAGTTTTTTTTCTTCCTTTTTTTAAAATTAAGTTCAGTAGTATTTTTTAAATTCTTATAATGTGTAGTGCACTACTATTTGTGTACACAGTATGCCTGTCATGGTTATCTGTGTACAATGGGTTTTGTATTTTAGTTGGAAGGTAAAATAATAATAAAAATAATAATAATAATCTACAGCCATACACTACTAATGAACTGTCTTTAAAAGGCTATAGTACTCTTACCTTTATTCATTGTTATAGCCTTAAATTAGCTGACTGACTTGACTGACATGTTTAGGACTCAAAGATTAGTACTATTGACTTGGGACTTGACTTGAGACTCGCCTTCACTGACTCTGGACTTGAATCGAGACTCGACTATCTTGACTTGGGACTTGACTTGGGACTTGAGTGTGAAGACTTGAGACTTACTTATTACTTGCAACTTCGTGACTTGTTCCCACCTCTGGTGTTCATAGAAAGTCTTACCATGGTGTTTTGTTCAATTACATACCTACGTGAACACGTTCGAGGAAAATGTCTTGATGAATGTGGAGGTGTGTTATCTGGTCAAGCTCCTTCACGCGATGTGTATAATTTAGCAAGTGATTGTTGTCAACTTCCACTCTGAATCCAGAGGATGTGCACAAAATCTTGATCTGAAAAACAGAAAAAGACGAGTGTGATCTCAAACTTTAAGGATCTGTATGAGGGTCCACAGTACAGCTCATTACTCTCTCTACAGATCTACCACATCAGATTCACTGATGAATTTGTAATGGAATCTGAAGAGATTATAGTAGATACTTAAGAAATTATAGTAGATACTGAATTATTCATAGTAGTTACTGAATAATTAATCATAGTTACAAATAATTCATGGTAGTTTCAAAATAACAAGACTGCAGTTTATGGTGTTAATCTCAGTTCGGTTAACTCAACATTAATTCATTCATTTATTTCACAATCATCCTGCCAATCAGGCTTAAAGTGAACATTTCAGCATCATCTTTGAGCCGTATTAGTAACTTTCTCTGAGACTGAAGCTGCAACTGAAATATAAGGAACACTTTCACTAGTGAACATGATCCCTCAGTGAACAGACTCACTTAATATGGAGTGAAAGTGTTTAAATGAGCAGAGCAGGACTGTCTGTTCACAACACTCACCTCAAAAGGTTTTCCAGGTGTGAAAGGGAAGACAGGAAGTTCTCTTTCCTCAGAGCCCCAAAAACCATTAATCCTGGTGTTCCTCACGATCACCTGTTTCCCATCCTCATTGAAGCGAGGGTTGAACTGAAAGGCTATATCAGTGCCATTACAGATGTTAATTTCAAATCTAATGGGAGAAAAAAAAACACTTTTTTAACCATTTTACTTTTAGATTTGCTATTCTATTTGTATTATTTATTGAACTCCTACCCTTCAGCATTTGGTTTAGGCACTCCGTAAATGGCGATGAGTGTTTGGTCCTTGAGTCCTTCAGGTAGAATCTGCACATATGGAACTTTTAGCGAGAGGCCCTCTAGAAAGAAAGCAGAAGAGAGAATAAAGTGTTGAAAATGAAAGGATCAGTTCTGCTCTTCTTGCTCTGTGAGCTGCATACCCCCAGGGCAGCGTGCTTAGTCCACTGCTTTTCACTTTGCTGATTCATGACTGTGCGGCAGCTCACAGATCCAACCACATCATAAAGTTTGCTGATGACACTATTGTGGTTGGTCTCATCTGCAAGAATGATGAGTCAGCATACAGAGACGCGGTGCGGCGACTGACAGACTGGTGTAAAGTCAACAACCTACATCTGAATGTGGACAAAACAAAGGAGATGGTTGTTTACTTCAAGAGAGCACAGAGTGACCACTCTCCGCTCACCATCAACAACTCCCCTGTGCAGACTCCTTGGTGTCCACCTAGCAGAGAACCTCACCTGGACCCTAAACACCAGCTTCATAACCAAGAAAGCCCGGCAGCTGCATTACTGCCTGGTTTGGGAACTGCACTGCCTCCAACCGCAAGACCCCTCCAGTGAATAGTGAGGACAGCTGAAAATATCAGGGTATCTCTTCCCTCATTTACACCACACGCTGCATCTGAAAAGCCACTAGCATTGTGACTGACCCCACTCATACAAACTGTTCTCTCTTCTGCCATCTGGAAGAAGGAACCACAGCATTTGGGCCCTCACAGTCAGACTGAGCTACAGTTTCTTTACACAAGACATCAGATTCCTCAACTCCCACGGACTGAATTGAAGGACACCCACCTGGACACACACAGACATTACAATATGAGACTAACTCACTCCCCACTGCTTGCAATTCCAGATTATGTCTGTGACACTGTATGTAAATATGATTATTGCATTTAACACTGAAATACTTCACTTAATATGATTCATATCCCTGACTACTTACATTTTTGAACATCAACTTATTTAACAATACTGGCTGCTAGAATACTGTATCAAGCAAATACTGTATACCATTGCTGTTCTGGTTGCTACCTCAGTGACTGCTATACTCATATATACTAGGCTATCTGCTAAGCTGCTAATATATCACAGTATGTTACATCCTGTACAACTCCACACATTCTCAGTACCATGTACTGCCTGTGTTCTGTTTTGTATTTATTGTTTTTCGTAGTTATTGCACTGTTTTTTCTGCACTGTGTATGTTGTATTGTTTAGCACTTGTGTTCTTGTGTTGCACTATGGTCCTAGAGAAATGTTGTTTAGTTTCACTGTGTACTCGTATATAGATAAAATAACAATAAAGCCTCATGAACATCACTCTTACCAATCCTGGCTGAATAGAGACATTGGGCTTTCTTTAAACATTTCTTTTTGCTTAGTACTGTCTATTTGACACTCTTTCAATAGTCACTGGATGAAACCTTTACTTTTCATGTTTGTGAGGTTTTAATAAAAAAGAAAATTTAAAACTTAAACTTTTTTTTTTTTATTTATTTATTTTTTTTGTTTTTGAACCATTCAGAAGTGGACTTGCTTGTGTGCTTCGAACAATTATCCTGCTGCGTAACCCAACTGCATTTCACTAACTGGTCGATATTCCCCTTTAGGATTTTCTGAATTCATGGTTCCATCAGTTATGACAAGTCGTCCAGGTCCTGCAGAAGCAAAGCAGCCCCAGACCATCACACTACCACCACCATGTTTGACTGTTGGTGTGGTGTTCTTATGGTGTAATGTGGTGATAGCTTTACGCAAGATGTAATGGGACCCATGTCTTCCAAATTTTTCCCCTGTTTCTTGCTTATTGTGGAATTATGTACATTGACCTTAACTGAGGCAAGTGAGGCCTGCGGTTCTTTAGATGTTTGTCTGGGGTGTTTTGTGACCTTGGTGTTGATGCGCTCTTGGTACAATTTTGGTAGGTCGGCCACTCCTGGGAAGGTTCACCACAGTTCCAAATTTTTCTATGTGTGGATAACGGCTCTCACTGTGGTTCTCTGGAGACCCAGAGCCTCTGCAATGGCTTTTTAACCCTTTCCCGATGGTACATTTCAGTGACTTTGTTTCACATCTGTGTTTGAATCTCTTTAGAACGTCTATCATAACGGCATCATGTGCTGCTGTTTGAGAACTTCCAGCTGCTTCACATTGTCAGACAGGTTCTATGTAAGTGATGTTTAGATTCCACAGGTCTGGCAGAGATGCAACCTGCAACCTGTCCACAGCCAAGAAGGGCTGCTGCAGCTGTTGTGTGCTCCATTGCAGTCCCTCCACTCTGGTGCACTGATGGAAAAAGTAGCCATGAATATTCTGGCCCTTTCCCCATCACATAGGCCGGGAACTGCTAAGTGCTTGTTGCAAAGGATTCTGCTGTTGTGACCACACTCTGGTCTGGGACCACATACACCTTATAAAATAATCTAAAAATATTTTTTTTTATTTGTGTGTCAAACAACAAGCCTTCATTAATGATGTGTGTTGGTGCTTTATCAGAAGCAGGTTAACTAATGATCTTGTGCTTGCTATAATATATGCACACTACTAGAGGTCTCTGTTTTCAATACCCTGAGGCCTCAAAGCATTTCCAGGCACAATCACCAAAAAGCCTCAAAGCTTCACAAGGCCATCCACTGTCCACCACCACAAATCACCATGTTTTGTCAGAACAGACTCTCTTACTCTACTGATGGGCCCATTAAATGTATGTTATTTAGATTTAAGACATTTGGTCTCGGGAAGTGTGCTATATTGTAATTCTTATAGCCCCATAAACCATTTGGAAATTTGCCATTTGTCCTCACATCACATTTCCGAGCTGGAAGGTTTTCTCTTTGGTGACCTTCCGTATTTGCAAATAAACTACATTTTCCTCAGTCCATGAGTCTGCATTTACTGTGAAGTTCCTAAGAAATTGCGTTTTAACAAATAGAAACTCTGGCAAGCTTTTGGGGCCCAACAGTCCACGTTCTGCAGGAGGGTTTGGGTTTAATTAGTAACACCTCCATACTTTCTCTTTCCCATTGCTTTACAAGGTCATGAAATGTGTGTCTGATAGAGATGTATGTATAGTGTGTGTGTTAGAAGCAGGCAGAGAAACACAGAGTTTGGCCTGCTGCTCTCCATGTGTGTCAAATTAAAATTTTGAATAGACTAAACCTTAAACTTATGTCTGAGTTTGTTTTGACACTAGTGATGGAAGCCACGGCAACACAGGTAGAGACAATATTCACACCCAATTTGAGTTTCTAACAAATTTCACAGCAGAAGTTCAATAAACTGTGCAGATCACAAACACATTCATTCAAAATAAACAGTTAACAAAAATCTGATCTATATTAATAAATCATTTAAACATATAAAATATTTGCATATTTCATATGACAACTTACCGCTTTTGGACATGGTTTGCGGCATATTATTTCCCAGACTAAAGTTCTTCACACCAGCTGTAAATAAATAAGTAAATAAAGATTATTTAAAATAGAGACATTTAATTCAGCTTGATCAAAGTTTCCCTTTTGGCACTGAAATGTTGAAATGAGTTATTTGAAAAAAGAGCACATGAGCCACACAGTCATCTTGTGATATTTCTGCTGGTGTTCCTGCTGTTCAGTGAACGGGAGGGAAGTTTAGTGATGGATTAAAGTTTGAGCTCATGTTAAACTCAGAGATAAAGCAGTGAAAACTTTCACTAATGGTTTAACAGAAAATAAATCTTTAGCTAAAGATGGACTCTTTACTGTCTGCAGTTCAGAAGCTACACAGAAAAACATGTTTTTCTTCTTTCTGTGCTGTGCATTTCAAGCTTGACCTGATTCTACTTGGTTTCCAAAACAAGGAATATTTTTTTAATGAAATTATGTTCTATCACAATGTCAGTGTGAAACCTCTGATTTTGTTGCAGACACTGTTTAATACTTTGTGACAACTTCACTAAGTTTAAACATCAGTGTTGTAATCTGGGTGTGTTTTGCTCTGAGTCAAAATTACACAATAACTTTAACCATCAAATAAAATTAAGATATTAAGAAGAAGCTGTTTCAAAGAGATCACAACTGCATCGTTCAGAGTCAACACAGAACAGTGTTTCAGTGCATATTAACAAGCAATTCATCCGGTGTGGTCAACTCAGATACTTTGAATGAAACATTGCAAAGCAAAAAATTACTTTAGATAAATACAAATCAACATTATACGTCAATTTAAAGCTCAAAAATTAAAATCAGCTTCCACTCTCTACATCGCAGCTATTCAGCAGTGACTCTTTACATGTTGGCTTAAAATCACTGAATCTGTTGTTTTATTTTGACTGTATTGTTCTGTAAAACACTGAAGTGCTTAATTTCACTGGAACAATTATTACAAACACAAAATCGACATAAGTAAATTTCAGTTACCTTATTTGTGAGTGGCCTCTTCTTGGGTTCTCAAGATTCTGTGTAATGAGTGAAGCGTGAAGAGTCATGAGTGAGCATATATATGCAATCAGAACTGCCCAGCACAGTTTGCTGTGACCTCACGGCACCAATAAACAGCAGTTTCAAATGACATGATGCCCACTCATAATGAATTTGTTTTTTTCAGTGCTTTTCTTCCCTGATTGTAGTTCATAATCAAGTAAGCTTATCAGATAAACCTCCTTAAATGTCACTGAAGAGCAGGCTTGGAGATCCTTGCAGTGATTTATGTGAAACATGTTTAATTTCTGTTTATAAAGGAAAACAGAAAAGTGGTATCTCATATTTAGAGTTAAGATTTTGTTCTTTGTTCACTAAAGCCTGAATTAGACTTTTCTAAAAATGGTCTATTCACTGTGCTTTAAGCTTTACTCAGTATGACTGATATTAGTCTTCATTATTAGTTGTAATAATGAACAGTCAAGCACTTAAGACCTTGAGTTACTGAGCATGCATTAATCACCTGTCTACAGCTGGCAGCACTTCATTCCTAAAGATTCTACATATCAACAGAAAACTACTCTATGGGTGAGTTTCTTTGTCAGAAAAACGCCTAGTTCTGGAATTTTCCTTTCAGTGGAGAAGTTCAATTCTGAATGCTGTGTCTTCCAAGAATAGGCTTAATCCTTGTCAGTGAAACTGACTCTACATCTTATAACAGATTAATAAGCACTAAAGAAGTTTTTAATAAGTGAGTTTGAAAATTGAAAACTCTTCTATGCAATAGTTAATTTATCCACATTTGGTTGTTAAAATGGGTTGAGACGAGAGGAGGACAGTACTAAAATACGTTTACTGGAGTACTCCACATTTTTGAGTATCATTTAGTTTTTTTTTTTAAATCCTATGACTGTACTTTGTAATTGTGCTTTTGTACTTTGTACTTGTGACTCCACTACATTTGTATGGTTCTGCTTATTTACTACTTTGAAGCTGACAGTGGACAAATTTTCTTTTCTAGAATGTGATATTAAGCCATATTGTGCTCATCACAGTATAAAAATGAATCACAGTAAACTCCTCCTACACTCAGTCATGCTCAAAGTGCAAGCTGTATTTTTGAACAGTCAAAGTGTAATATATGCCCATTTTGAATTTGATGCCAGTATCACGTTCCAAAAAAGTTGGGACGGGGGCATTTTTACCACTGTGTTTCATCACCTATTCTTTTATCAGCACTCTTTAAGTGTTTGGTAACCGAGGAGACACTGCTGTAGTTTTGAAAGTGAAATGTTTTCCTGTTCTTGTTTAATACAGGATTTCAGGTCAGTTTAGCACCTGGACTCTTTTAATACAGAGCAATGCTGTTGTAATACATGCAGAATGTGGTTTATCCTTGACTTGCTGAAATAACCAAAAAGTCTTCCCTGAAAAAGACGTCGTCTGGATGGCAGCATATGTTGTCAAAACCTGTATATATCGTTCAGCATTAATGGTGCCTTCACAGATGTGCACATCACCCATGCCATGTGCACTAATGCCCCCCTACACCATCATGAATACTGGCTTTTGAACTGTGCACTGATAACAAGCTGAGTGGTCTTTAGCCCAGAGGACACAGTGTCCATGATTTCCAAAAAGACTTTCAAATGTTGATTCGTCGGACGACAGGACACTTTTCCACTTCCCCTCAGTCCATTTTAAATAAGCTCAGGCCCTGAGAAGGTGGCAGTGTTTCTGGATCCTATTTATTTTTTGTGTTTTACAGTTTTAATTAGCATTTGTGGATGCAGTGATGAACTGTTTTCACAGACAGTGTTTTTCAGAAGTGTTTCTGAGCCCATGCAGTGATTTCCTCTACAGAATCATGTCTGTTTTTAACGCAGTGCCCTCTGAGGGCCCAAAGGTCACGGCCAGCTAATACTGCACAGCCTCGTCCCTTACATACAGAGATTTCTCCAGATTCTCTGAATCTTTTAATTATATTATGTACCATAGGTGATGTAATCCCCATGTTTTTTGTTATTTTATGTTGAGAAACGTTGTTCTTGAATTGTTGCACTATTTGATCGTGCGGTCTTTCACAGAGTGGTGAGCCCCTCCTCATCTTTACTTCTGAAAGACTCCGCCTCTCTGAGAAGCTTTTTTAGACTCAGTCATGTTACTGACCTGTTGCCAATTAACCACCAGGTGTTTTTTTTTTTTAGCATTACACAACTTTACCAGCCTTTTGTTCACACGTCCCAACTTTTTTGGAATGTGTTGTTGGCATCAAATTCAAAATGGGCAAATATTTACTATAAAATATTCAACATATGTTGTCTTTGTACAGAGAAGCTTCACAACTGCAGTTTTTAATTTGTTAGGAAAATTGACACTCCTGAGTGAGATGTTTACCATCAGAAGTAAGTCTGCTGCTATTGAGTGAAAATGCTTTTTAGAAAGTTGGTTGGTAACATGTCAAGGTGACAAGTGGAGAATTTAAGATGACTCACTGTATTAAATTAATTCATCAATTAAAATTTCATTCTTGACAGCACTAAACTGGGACATTTTAACCATGACATCTTTATGTGGTGATGGGGAGAACACAGGCTCTTTGACGGATATAGATGTATTTATGACTTGCCTGATATTGCGGATTTTTGTATTAAAAAGGTAGTAAACTCATTGCATTTTTCTGGTGACACTAATTGAGGTCCATATATGTAGGTGACTTAGTTAGTTTGTCAACCATGACAAAGAGTGTCCTGCTGCTGTTAATATTGTTGTTGATAATGCTAGAGAAGATCGATTATCTAGCTTTGCACATTATTGTGTTGTAACCATGCAGCCTATCTTTGAGGATTTCTTTGTGAATTTGAAGCTTGGTTTTACGCCATCTGCATTCAGCCTTCCTACGTTCTCTCTTTTGGAGTTGAACTACAGTAGCATTCCTCCAAGGTGCTTTCTGTTCGCATGACATAGTTTTAGCTTTAACTGGTGCATCTCATCCATAACACTGACAGTTTTTGAGCTGAAGCTCTCCAGCAAAGCATCAACAGAGTCAAAAGGTTTTACATGGAGCAGAGCACATTTTGCTCATGAAATTGTAGCTGTGCTGTCATATATGAAACTTTTCTTAAAGCAGATGTGTCTGGTCTTAATGTTTGAGGTCCTTAACAGTGGCTGATATGTTGAGACCCTTCGAGACTTTTTGAGAAAAGCTAACATATCTGTAAATTCATCTGTTAAAATTCACATTGTACTTCGGAGGCCTGTAAACAATTCCCATTAATATTTTTTGACATGCACTTCCTGTTCTGTCTGTTCCTGATAAGGACTGGAATTAAAGAGAAATTACTGGTACACAGGATCTAAGTTTGTTTTGAAAACATGCACTGCTGACATTGTCACTTTAGCGGCACAGAACCAAAAAACATCAAATTGCCAGATTATTTGGAAATGGTGTGAACTCTTCCCTTTAAGTGGAAGAGGGTGGGTGGAGCTCCTGTTGCTGATGAGGTAGAGAGTGAGACTGCCTTTCTGTTGGTAAATATGATTTAAACCATTTTAAAACTGTGCCCAAGATGTCTATTCAGTGTTCAACACAGTGAATTAAATAGTTACCAAAAGCTGCATTAAGATCCAATAAGACCAGAATAGAAGAATTCTGTCCTTCAGCGCTGAGCCTGAGGTCATTCATAACATGAATCAATGCTGTCTCAGTACTATGGTTGGAATGAAAACCTGACTGAAACTTCTCATATAACTTGTTTGATATTAAATACACATTTAAGTGTTTGGAAACAAACATCTTAAGGAATGAAGTAGGAACAGGTCACGATCACATGTGGACAAACTTAATTTGTTTATAACAGTTGAAAACTCCTGATAATTGATAACTGAGAAAGATGTCATTACTGATGTAGGTGGCTTATCAGGAACATTATAGGAGCTTGTTTCAGTCAGCTACACCCTGTCTTATCAGGTCTATTTTATTTTGGAAATGAATCTGCGAACTCTTCACAGACTTTAGAAGATAAGTCATCATGAGACGCATTAGCAGAAAAGCTGGGGTTAATTAGTTGGTCTGTGGTGGAAAAAAGAATTTTGGTATTATCTTTGACTGTCTGGATATCTTCATAGCATTATTATAGACTGAGATCTGCTCTTTGAGAATATCATAGTGTACCTGCAGTTTAGTTTTCCTCCATAAGCATCAGATTTACCACAATTTATCTTAAGTTGGTGTGTTTCTGCATTTATCCATGGAATTTTATGAGTAAGCAAATTTTTCTTCTATTTTACTGGAGCAAGAATGTCAAGGGTTTCCCATAATCTAGCACTTAGATCGGAGACTAGATCATTACAGGATGGAGTCAGATCTGTATTTGCTGAAATATTATAAACGGTTTTAAACTTCTCAAGTGTTTCTGAGTCAATGTAACATTTTTAGAGTAACTTTAAGATACTTCTACATTGACTTGAAACAATATACAGAAATAATCTGATATTAAAACTGCAGAGATTACAGATTTGTATTCACACCTTTATTTTCTTACTGCCCGTCTTCCTGTATGCATAAATCTGTAGTTTTCAGGAGCAGCTTCAAGTAGAGCTGCTGTGCCATTATCACTGAGCCACGTTTCTGACAGAAACATAAAATCAAGCTTATGCTCGTTAATAAAATCTCTAATCAGAGGAGTTTTATTATTTAGTGACCTTACACTGAGTAAAGAAAGGTTTCATTTACTACTCACTACACTATGTAGTGCCTTTTGTAAGAGTACATGAATTAAATTTTCTCAGCATCCAAAGACAAAAGAAAAGCTAAGGTCAGATGAAGACTGGATATGTTCCTCGGTAGTGAAGCAGCTGTTCTGAGTATATTCTCTCATAACTTCATCATTCTGGACTACATTCCTTCAGTTTGCTGTGTCTAATCTGAAACAGACTGTGTTCAGTGGCCTTGCAGATTCAGGAAACTGACTTCTGTTTAAATTCCATTAAACTCATCTACATTTGGACATTGGAAATCAGTGATAGCACTAAA